CCACCCGCCCTAGCCTCCCCCGCACTCCCAAACTCATCCCAAAAGTCCTGTTTATCCTTCGCCGGCCCCGCTGGCGCCGCACCAAAGCTCTCCCAAAAGTCCTTGCGCTCAGGTTCGCGCTGACCCGACAAAGGAGCGCGCGAAGAAGAGGAAGAAGAAGAAGGATGTGCAGAGTCGCCTCCTTCGACGAAGCGGGAGAATTGCGTGTTTGCGTTTGCGACGCCGGATTGGAGGGTTTGGCCGAGGGTGCCGGCTGTGGTGCGGGCTTGGGTTGCGAGGTCTGCTTCTGCGAGCTGCGGGGGTGTTAGTTCGAGCTTTTGTGGTCTCTGGGGTTCTTGGGAGGATGGAAGATGTACCTTTGCCATACCAGGCTTCACCCAGCCTTCATACCCCGTTTTGCCTACTTTACTCACGCTTGCGCCTAGCCAGCCAAAGCCCTTGGTAAGCGCCGCAACAGGGTCTTTCTGGAAGTCGTCCAGGGCAGGAGGCGCACCGGGCTCATCGTCTTTCTTCCAGGCATCTGGCTCGCTGCCGAAGCCGCCGTATTTTCCGCCTTGATTAGGCGCAACGCCATCGGGTCTGCTGGCGTTCTCCTGGCCCATCTTAGCGAAGTAGGCTTCGTTTTTTACTTTCTGACTAGACATGGCGTTGGTGCCGAGGGCGGGGGAGCCCGAGCGCTGGAAGCCTGCGTCGTTGCTTCGTGTCTTTCCAAGGGGTGTCTGGCTTCGGCTTCCGGCTGCGCTGGCGCGTCCGCTCAAGGGCGCGCCCATACCCGCTGTAGATACATTGTCCTTCTTGGGTAACCGCTTGGGTAGGTTGGCCTTGTCAAACTCCCTGTCCTCGACCTTACAGCTGAGTCTCTCCTTCCACTCGTCGCCCGCTTCCGAATCATATCGCTCTGATATGGACGAGGCCTCGAATGTACGTCCGTCTTTCGTATTCGAAGGATGTGTGTTGAAGAAGTCTTGGAAGGGCTTATTGCCGCCGGCAGCCATGCGCACGAGTTCCGAGCCTTTGAAGGCGTCCATGGTGATACTGCGGATGAAGGAGATGTGCACACCTAGACCGCGGTGCACGCCCGAGCAGGAGAGGCACATGAATATACCGAGCTTGGGCGAAGCCTAGGAAAGTTCATCTTAGTAGGTGTAGTCGGTGATCGCGTGCGCAGGTGGAGGAAGGGCGGTTGCATACCCATTGTGGACTCGGCGCATTGCAGTCCACGCACTTGTTGTTGTCGTTGGTCTTTTGTATCTCGAGCAACTGCGTACGGAATTGATTAGCCTCTTTCATATGCGCATGCTCGACTCATCACCTGTGCTGCCTTCACGCTGCAATTGACCCCTAACGTCCCCCTCCTTCAGCTGTAGAAGGCGCAACGTACCTTACTCCGCGTCTCCGGATCTACCTCCCACATTTTACTCATGATGGGCAACCGAGAAACTGTGCGATCGTAGTGGAATAGAATGTGAGGTCTAGTCCCAGGCTGGGGGAACGTGGACGGGGTCGGTGTTGCGGTCGAGATTCAGGGTACGTGGGCCTAAGAACGCGTGGCGCGTGTGCAGTTGAGCCTCACAGGGATCTGCGTGATTTGGGTATCCACGCAGTCAAGTGCACCACGGCTGATGCTGTCGCTTTTGTCGCGACATCATTTCTATAACTTTTCGTCTGCCTCAGCGGACAACATATCATGCATATGTTGAAAATAATGGCACCGCAAAATCGTGGAATAGGCTACTTCGGTGATTTTCTTGTAACGATCTTGAGCAGCATGTACGCAGAAAGAGAATCAGCAGTCTGTATAGAAGAAGCAAAAACAAAGGTATCTTAGCAGTGTAGTGAGGGGCGCAATAAGTCTGCATTCAACTACACTTCTTATCCTCAACCAACTCCACGTTGCTGAATACATACGTCCTTGCATGCTACCTAATATCCTACCTGCACCTACAAGAAAAAAAAGCGATATATCCCTTCAGTCCCAAGAAACCACCTCCCTTACTCAAACTTCCCATCCACCGATCCCTCAATCCATCATCACCATCACATCAACACACATCCCTCCTGGCGGCCCCCTCGCCGCAAGATGCCAATCTCATCCTCGATATCCTGCCTCGTCAACGGGCGACCTCCGCCAGGTTGAGGACCCAAGGCTGGCGGCGCATCGTCATCATTGTCGTGATCGTTATCAGACTGTCCATCTGAAGTTGAATCCGTCATCGTCATCGTCATCCTCCTCCTCACTGTCATACTGATCTTCTGGGTTGAAATGAGGCATACCAGGCAACTTGAACATGCGCTCCTGAGCCATCATTGTTCTCATCTTTTCCTCGATTTCTTGTAGGGTCAGGTGGCTAGCGCTAGGTAGGGGTTCCATGGCTGGCGGCGGATCGTTGTCGTTGTCCTTGTTCGAGTCGTCTTCATCTTGCTCGGCATCGCTATCGTTCGACCCTTCTTCTCCATCTTCATCATCATCTTCTTCCTCATTTTCCTCATCCCCGCCCTCCGGTCTATAACCAGGCATACCAGGTAAATTCAAGATCAGTCCCTGACCCATCATGATCCTCATCTCATTCTCAATATCCTGCATGGTAAGCGGGCGGCCGGGGCCAAATTGAGTGTTCGAGCCTTCTTCTCCGTCTTCTCCATCCTCCTCATTATCGTCGTTTGTTGGCTGCATACTAGGCATACCCGGCATTCGTCCCTGAGCCGCAAGAATGCCCATTTCCTCCATGATGTCTTGCATATTCAGTGGTCGGCCACCAGCACTGGGATTAGGAGTCTCGTCGTCGTCGTCGTCGTCGTCGTCGTCGTCTTCGTCTTCCCACTCGTCCTCATCACTGTCTTCCCCGTCCTCATTGTCATCTTCCTCTTCCTCATCACCATCTACCTCTTCCTCATCATCATCTCCCCCTTCCTCTTCCTCATCACTATCCCATACATCGCCATTCAACTCATCCCCCCTATACGAGCTCCCAAACCGTGCCACCCACGGGTTCTCCCTCTCACCCTCAAAGTCCTCCAGAAGATGCACCCAGACATAGTCTTCTTCAATCTTGCTCGAAGCACCAACGCGCGTTTTGGTGTACCAACGTTCAGAGTCGCCTATAGTATCATGTTCCGACACAATCTTTACCCCCACCTGCGCAAACGCAGACTGGAGGGCAGCGATGCGGGTCTGGCACGGGAAAGTGCCTAGTTGCGGGTACCAGCCAAAGAACGTAATGATTTCGAGATCAGGGAGGAGAGTTTTTATAGCAGAGCCCAGGGTGAGCAAGACATCGAAGCAGGTTTCCGTCACGTCGTGATAACCCGTCTTGGTTGAGATGCGCAGGTTCTTGAGGTGCTTGGGCAGGTTCCCGAGGTTTCGTTGGAGCGACTCGGCGAGGAAGTCCTTGGTAACGGAACGACAATGAACTTTTTCGTAGAAGATGGACGTGGTCATTTGGAAAGTCTGCACGTTCTCCAAGCCGCGCAGTTGTTCAAGCGCGCCTGGGTTCACCACTAGACGGTCGTCGTCGATGGCCATGTTGTTGAGGGACGCACAGTGGTTTCCGATGGCTTCGAAGAGCGTTTGTACGTCTCTGTTGTGCTTCTTGATCGAACCCCCGCCGCCGCTGAACTCGTAGTCGAGTAATTTGAGGTTTTTGAGGCTTTTCAGCAAGCGGGCGAGATCGAATATGTCGGTGGTAGTATGAGAGATTTCCAAATGCTCCAGATTCGATCCTTCTTTTTCCAGTCGTGCCCAAACGAGGTTGATGGCTTCCAATTCGGCGTCCTCGTGTAGAGTGGGTGCCAGTAGATCGGACATGATCAGCGTTTTCATCTTCGGCAGCAGAAAAAGCGGAAGGAGGTTTACAACGTTCGCTCCGCCGTCGAGTATCACCTTCTGTAGGTTTGTGCCAATCTTACCGACCAGCGATTGCACGAACCACATGCCTTCAGATCCCCACCGCTTCGTGGAGATGCGAAGTTCCTTGACGTTCGGCGTAAACAACATGAACGTGCTGAGATACAGATCGCGTTCTGTACGAAGACGCATCCAGTTATTCACCTCCACCAATTTCCCAGTGAGAAAGGTAGCATGTCGTGGCCACGTTGCGGGGAAGGGAAATCCCACTTTCTCCTTGATTTGATCGAACTCGGCTTCCGTGATCAGACGGGGGAACTTGAAGGCACCTTCATCATGGATGGGACTGTTCCACTTGACGTGTTGAACGCATCGCTGGAGATTGGGATTCGATGCAAGCGCTCGGATGAACAACGACGCGTCCTGACGGTCAAGTACGTAACAGGAGTATATGATATCGTTGGCAATCGCATGCAGCTTTTTGTTTGTGTAACTGATGCTCCAGAGATCCTTGCGGTCGCGGAGCAACTCGACGATCTCGGCGAGGACTTCTGTTGGAAGTTTATCCATCCTGAGGGTTTGAAGGGGCAATGGTGAAAAGTAATGGGTTGACGAGATTGACTTTAAGGTGAACGTGTAAGATGCGACAGGTCGTGCTGGGTATCTCCTTTCTTAGCGCCTTGGCGGGACGCAATATGGCCAGGGTTGATGATTCGGATCGCCGTTGACAAATGAACAGCAGGAACGAAAATCCCAAAACACAAATTGACAAGTAATTTCTAAATTCAAGTATCGAGTGGTGATGCAGCTACTCGCATTCACGTACGCGTAGCAGTCCCATCTCTTCCAACTAAACTAATCTACCAGCAAATCCCTATTGCGACTCCGCCATCCCCATGCACCATGACGGTGTGACCCATTAGGTGTGCCAAGGTGTGTCCCTTTTCTGCCGAGTGCCGTGAGGCCTTTCTGATGTTGTTCTTCTCCCACACCCCCTAAATAAGTATATACATTGCCGCATAGCAGAGATCCAGCGAAGAAGGAGAAATAGTGTACACAGATGCTGGCGCCCATTAATGATGTGATCGAACCGGACAGGAGTGTCTCGAGTAGACGTGTGGCGTGGAGGCCCCAAAGACAGTAATGAAACAAACTAGACGGCCGTGCGTCGGTGCTATGGATTACGCCTGGTTATTTTGGATATGATGTTGTAGGTTCGTCAGTCGTAGCGCGGTGGTGACATCCAACTTTTCTGATGGTAGGTGTGCTCTGTGAATGTACGGAGTTTCTCCGGGTCGTGATGTAGTCGCACCCGTTATCGAGTCCGCAGATGGTGGTTCAAGCTCTTTCCCTAGTTGACGTTCGGATCCGGGTTTCGCACGTTCAATTGTCGTCCGTAGTCTCGGCTGTCATCGATGCTTCCAAGACTTTCCCGGCTGGCGTTCGCGCCATGGAAGGTCAAAACAGCGGTTGGGTTGAGTCGCGAGTCGACTAGGATAGGTTGACTTAATCGGCGGCTCGATGGTGTAACGGGCGTGATCGATTCCTCGTCGTGGCGGCTCCGTTGCGAACCGAAGTTTGTAACAAGCTGGGTCGGTGACTTTTCGCTACGTCCTCCTAGCAGGCCGGCTCTGCTCATGGTGCTCACATTGCGCGAGATCCCAGCGGAACCACCGTCATGTCCGCCGTTTTGCTCGTCTTGCTGCCTCTTCCTCCGCCAGAGGACGAACAGTACACCACCTACGATGGCTAACAAAGCTATGACACCGCCAGCAACACCACCGGCAATGGCGCCCACGTTGGGGCCGCTCTCATGACTGGTTTCCTCGGAGGCAGCCGCGGTCGGAGTGAAGACGACTGTTCTGGTAACGACACGACCGCTTTCGGTTAGGACGGTTGGCGTTGTGACAGGTGCCATGGCTGAGGTTGGTTCATCGTCGGCTTCGGATTGAGTCGCAGATGGCTTTTCGGTCTGTGTGATGTGTCAGCTATGTGCTACAGACAGGATTGAGAGCAAATACAGTAGAAGAAGAAGTAGAAGACGGTGCCGTGGTGACCAGAGAGATGACAGTCTCCGGGTCAGGCGTCACGGTGACTGGTGGCGGAGCCGGAGCAGACTACCACGAAGTCAAACACCGGTCGCACAATAGAGTACGCATAGAAAGCAAGAAAGCGAAGAGAAAT